TGACCAATATGGTGAAACCCCATCTCTAATAAAAATACAAAAATTAGCTGGGCATTGTGGTACACACCTGTAGTCCTATCTACTCAGGAGGCTGAGGCAGGAGAATCACTTGAACCCGGAAAGCAGAGGCTGTCGTGAGCCAAGATCATGCCAATGCACTCCAGCCTGGGTGACAGAGCGGGACTCCATCTCAAAAAAAGTGTTAAGTTATACATCTTGATCAGTATTATACTTCAAAATAGTGACCTTGAGAACCTTATTCCAAAAATGGAACACATCTTTGGAGCCTGTGTAAAAGTCACATGAAAGTCAGTTCCATCATTTTATTTAAACTTAATTATTTTACCCCATTACATGTTATTTACCTCATGCACCTACCTATTTTTCAAGATGTAGAGTTAAGTTACTGTATTACAGTTCTTGTCTATAAGCATTAGAAACATTAGTAACTGACTCTATCTTTAAAAAGCAACTTTACTGGAAGGCTGCTGAAACTCGCAAAACTGAAAGATGACTGGAAAATCAGGCTGGAAAAAAACAGTGCCCACCGACCAGAGAAAGCAGCTCAAAGAACCATGCCAAAGAACAGTCTGATCCACACACTGACATTATTCTGGAAAGGTCTCCAAAAAACCCTACATCTTAGAGAAAACATTTGATTGGACAAGTCTGGCTGCACAACAAAACAGTAAGGGAGTAATATGCTTCAAGAGTGCATCGTGGTAATCACAACACTTTGGGAGGCTGAGGAGGGAGGATCACTTGAGGCCAGGAGTTCGAGGCTACAGTGAGCTATTATCTCACCACTGTACTCCATCCTAGCAACAGAGCAAAATCTGTCTTCTGGGGGGAAAAAAAAAGACCAGGCACAGTGGCTCATGCCTGTAATACCAGCACTTTGAGAGGCTGAAGCAGGAAGATAACTTGAGCACAGGAGTTCAAGACCAGCCTGAGCAATGTGGCTAAACCCTTGTCTTTACAAAAAATAAAAAAAATTAGCCAGGCGTGGTGGTGTGTGCCTGTGGTCCTAGTTCCTCAGGAGGCTGAGGCAGGAGGAGGATCACTTGAGCCAAGGAGGTTGAGGCTGCAGTGGGCCGAGATCACAGTACTGCACTCCAGCCCGGATAACAGAGCAAGACCCTGTCTCCAAATTATACTTGGCCACTGAAAATAATTAAATCTAACCTTAAAAAACTAAGATTTGCCAGCAATGAAGACATTCAAACATATATCAGTTATTTCTGGTAATTCTCAATAAAGCATCCTGAAAATATTCTACTGAAGGCATCTATGGAATAAACACATACTGAAAGGGAAATACCTGCACTTTGCTGCCCCTCTCCCTCAAACACAGGGGCAATTAGAGAAATACTGCTAATTATTTGGCAGTTGAATTTAGGTGTAAAGTATATGCCATCCTTTCTGCCACCTTTGAAGAATTACTTAAATACCTATGCACTAGTTCTCTGCCCAAGTGAGCATCAAAATCCTCTGAGGGGCCTAGGCATCCCTGTTTTATAAACACAAAAATAAATATCATCGGTTAAAAAAAAAAAAAAATCTGAAATGTGTAAAGAGAAAAAAAAAAAATCAATCACAATGACTTTAGACTCACCCTTAACAGGTAATCTGAAGCCAGACCATCTGTTTATTCGAAAACTGAAAGTTCTGTTCAGTAAAAAGAAGAGGGGGACTTGACTCAGAATATGTCAATTTTTAAAATATTATAAACATGTTAAAAATACACTGGCAAGACAATAAGAACAAAGAACAACCTCACACAATATGGATGAATCTCATGTTTAACAAAAATCAGAAACAAAGTACAAAAAATGAGGAAAAATTAATCTATGCTGAATTCTAATATTAAGCCAGTGGTTACCCTTGAGGAATGGGTAGTGACTGGAAAGAAATTCAAGCAGAGGGCTAGAGCTTCTGTGTCTTGCCCTAGACGCTGGTTTAACAGGTATATTTGGTTTGTGAAACTTCATCACCTTTTATGTACACTTTTCTCCTGGTTTATTATTCTCCAACAGAAAAATTTTTTAAAGCCAACACATGTAAATTACTAAGTCTGTTTTTTCTTTCAAAAATCAAAGAAAGGTCGGGCACAGCAGCTGAGGCCTGTAATCCCAGCACTTTGGGAGGCAGAGGTGGGCGGATTACTTGAGCTCAGGAGTTCAAGACAAGCCTGGCCAACGTGGTGAAACCTCATCTCTACTAAAAATACAAAATTCAGCTGGGTATGGTGGTGCACCTGTAATCCCAGCTACTGAATCCCAGTTATTCGGGAGGCTAGGGAATCACTTGAACCTGGGAGTGGGAGGTTGCAGTGAGCCGAGATCGAGCCACTGCTGTCCAGCCTGGATGACAGAGCGAGACTCAGTCTCAAAAAAAAAAAAAGTAAATTAATTTCACCATTTAGCAATTTCTTAAAATTTTTTTATTGTTTTGATTTCAGATAAGGTTATTAGCTCACATATATATATATATTAAATATTTACAACATTAATGACTTGCCTGAAATCAGGAAGAAATGCTCACGATCAGCTAGCAAACGTTGGACCTAAGCCATGACTAGCAAACTATAGTGAGTGACTCTTGACGCAAAATAAACAGGACACATGGTTTCAATTACCTTCCAAAGAACTTTAAATTGTCTCAATTATGTGAGTACTGTTAAACTTCAACAAATTATTTAGATTATCTTCCTGAAAATCAATCACTGAAAAACATGTTAATAATAGGATTTAGCTTAAACATTTAGAGCAAGGGTATCCAATCATTTGGCTTCCCTGGGCCACAATGGAAGAACTGTCTTAGGCCACACATAAAATACACTAACACTAGCAATAGTTGATGAGCTTTAAAAAAAAATTGCAAAAAAACCTCAATGTTTTAAAAAAGTTTATCGATTTGTGTTGGGCCACGTTCAAAGCCATCCTGGGTCACATGTGACCCACGGATTGGACAAGCTTGATTTAGAGTAACATGAACTTGAAAAAACAAATAGGTACTTTCTCACTCTAATTTCAGTGTGACTCGGAACACCAAAAGCTAGTTTTTTTTTTAAGTTTTTGTTTTCCATCAAGTTTTATCCACACAGAAAAGTCTCAAAAACTGTAAACCAAAATGTTCACTCAGGAATATGTTTTAATTGTGTTTTTGTATTTTCTAAATGTCTACAATAATGTTACTTTTGTCCAAAAAAAATCTTTATGGCCCGCGTAGTGGCTCACACCTGTAATCCCAGCACTTTGGGAGGCCAAGGCAAGTGGATCACTTGAGGTCAGGAGTTGGAGAGCAGCCTGACAAGGTGAAACCCCCTCTGTACTCAAAATACAAAAATTAGCTGGGTGTGGTAGCGCGCGCCTGTAATCCAAGCTACCCCGAAGGGTGAGGCAGAAGAATCGCTTGAACCCAGGAAGGGTAGACTGAAGTGAGCCCAGATGGCGTCATGGCACTCCAGCCTGGGCAACAGAGCGAGACAAAGAAAGAAAAGAAAAAAAAAGACAAATGTTTATAATTAAGATTCCAAATTGTGAAGCCTAAAGTTGAATATTTTCTAAAAATTACATTACTAGGACACTATACACCTAGTTTACTTTTTCATCCAAAGAACAAGGAATTTCACATACAGCCTGCTTTAACATCACAACTCAATCATTAAACAGGTTCAGCGCCCCTTTCAGTCAAAGGAACCATCAACCTTTTTCAAGATTACTGTTATTAAAACCTCAGAAATGGGAAACAAAGACACAGCAGATGCCCTAGACATAACAAACTAACCTTCAGTTCATCAGATTTTTAAACATGAAGGGTCCATAAACAGTCCATATAAACTCGCCTATACCTAATAAGTTTCAGCGACGTAGAAAGATTACGTTGTTTTGTAAAACTTTTTTTGCCCACCTTCCTGAATTTAGAAAACTTTCTTAAACTCAAAACACAACACCGTATCCGACTCTAAAAACGTGCTATAATTTCCAAGCAGAGATAAAACAAGCTCTGGGAACACCTCATCATACATAATTCAGAGAATATTCATTTATCTGACGGTATTGCAGGTGTCTGTCTAAAAAAATCATTTTTGTAGACAAATATAACAAATGTAGCAAAACATTAATTATAAAATCTAGAAAGAGTATGTATGTGTATGTATCTAGCACTTTTTCAACTTTTCTGTGTGTGAAAATTTTGGATACTCAAGTGAAAACAAACGCTTTCAAAGTCAGAATACAAAGAAATATTTATTGCAACTTCAACACACCTGAAGCTTCGAGGGCTTCCATCAACTCACAAACCTACATTTCAAGCACACCATGAAAAAGCCCTTTCTAAAGACGGCAAAACTTTGAGATTAATCAACTGATAAAATATAAAAGCGATACTAAAAATAATCTCTCACCCAATGCAAGTTCACCTAGAAAATCATTTACCAGGAGGTTTCAGGAGAATTTTGATTTAACTTTACTTAGTAAGAGCTTTTCCATTACCACTTTGCCTACATTTTTCGTAATTCCCAACAGCACACTTTAACTCAAGAAGAAAAAATTCCCCAGCAAGCAGATCCGGGCACTCCTCCCAGGTCCTAAAACCTGCAAAAATCCGAGAGTTCGTGGCGCTAGCGGCTCCAAGTGTTTCGGTTTCCCGGGCCGTCTCCGGGTTGGATTTGCACCCTGGGGTCTACATGGGTTAAAAACGCGGAAAAAGGCGACGGAGAAATACAAACTGCCAGGGTGTCGAAATGAAAGGAGCGACTGTAAGGAGAAATCCCAGGCCCCTCTACTGGGAAGATCTGGAAAGCACCCGCCGCGCAGGGGGCCAACTAACTCCTACACTGCTCGGGGTCAGCTGAGAGCCACCGCGCGCGGGCTCCGGAGCTAGGAGGGCAAGTGCGCGGGCCGGAAGCGTCGGGCGCTCACCTGGCACCTACCTGGAGCTCACCTGGCGCCCGGGCCCCGCGCCGCTGCCCCCCGCCCTGCCCGCCGCGCCCGCACCTCGCGGTCCTTGAGGCCCAGCAGGAGCACCTCCTCCATCAGGGTCAGCCGCGTTTCCTTGGAGTCGCCCTTGTCGTCGTCGTCCTGCTCGTCGCGACGGCTCTGAGCGTCGTCCTCGCCGCTGCTGGCGCCGCCGCCTGCCGCCCGCTCCTTGTCGGCAGCGTTGCGGGAGGCCTCGGTGCGTCGCTGCACCAGGCCCGAGCTGCGCTGGGTCAGCGAGGTCATGGCTCCGGCCGAGGCGCCAAGCCGGGCCGAGAGGGACGCGGGACCGACCGGGTCGCCCTCCTCCTTCCCCCGCGGCCTCCGACCCGGGTTTCCGGGTTAAATTCGGACACCCGGGCGACGTCCGTCGGCAGCGGGACCGGGGCCAGTCATGAGGAGACAGGTCAGGGCGAAGAGGGCTGACTGAGCGTCGGCGGGGCAGGAAAGGGCGCCTGTCTGCCAGCGGCTGCGGCCCCCGAAACAGCCCGAGCTCCGAAGCGGAGGCGGCGACGGCGCCTTTCCAATATGGCGGCCCCGGCTGACGTCACCGGAGGATGTGGCAGAGTCGGCGCGGCAGCGGGGTGGGCAGGAGGCGCCGGAAGCGGCGGGAGGGGACCCGGCGGCCGGAGATCCGCCGCTGCTGCGGCTGCCGCCTACACCCTTGCCGGCCCTCGGTGCTTGTCTTTTCCTCAGCGTTCCTGCGCCCCCTGACCTGCAGTTTTGCTCCCGCGACTTGCCCTCTCTCCTTCCGCTCCCCGTTTCCCCCTCACTATCCGGGGCTGGAATCTGAACCTGGCGGGTCCCCCACCCCCACGAGTCGGAGGAGCAGAGACCACGCGAAGGTGGACCCCGCTCAGCCTTCAGCTGCCCTCCGCGCCCCAGACACCGCTGTCTTCGGAGGCGGCAGCGTGACCGGGTCCCGTTCGGACTCGGGTCCGCACGACCGGCGGGAAGTACTTGGCCCGCCACTGCTGGGCGAGGAGGGGCGCGCTCTCTGCGGGGACTCCCTAACCCTTTAGAAGGAGCAACTGCGTCCAAATGGTTTGAAAGTGGGCCTTTAGTGTTTTCCAGGAGTAAGAAGGTAGAACAAATAGACCAGTTTTGTTTGTAAAACTTGTTTCTTTGCCTCGAACTTGTGCTGTAAACTGACCAGGGCGCAGTGAGTACAGTTAGTACCGCACACGTTAGCACGCTCGACCTTAAGGATCTTTTTACAGAGACAATAAACTTGAAGGGTTTCACACCACGTCTTTGTACGCATCAGATCTCTCTCCGTGTAATTATCCTGGCGTGCGCAAATTACGTTGAAGAATAGCCGTCGAACCTGAGAGAGGAGTTGAAAGAGTGGAGGGTGGCGCTTGTAAGTGAAACATTAACCAGGAATGGCATTGCGTACCATCCTGTTTTAAAATAAACAGTGTATGGACAGACTGGAACAACAGCAAAGCAAAAAATTAAATTAAAAAAAAAACCGATCATGGACTGTGGTTAAAGAGTCCTTTTAGATGGGTTATTCTCCCTCCACAAATCCATTATCCAGTACTGATGCCTATCCAATGTCTGAAAAGTGACAATGCTAAATGAGGGGAAGAGAAGGTGCAGGGGGAGCACCACGTAGACCTTCCCTTTTTCCCACCCGTCTGGGCAAAGGTCGATTTCACCTCAACCAATTTCTCCCATTCACACCCTCTTTGCCTTTCCACCCCTTCTCTCTCTTCTGATTTTACCAAATATTGTAGCTTGAAATGTTTCTTTGTAAAGGAAATGTGATTTATTATTTGAAAAGAGTTAGCCAGGAGTGGTGGCCCACATCTGTAATCCCATCTCCTCGGGAGGCTGAGGCAGGAGAACCGTTTGAGCCCAGAATTTGAGGCTGCCATGCGGGTGATCACGCCACTGCACAGCAGCCTGGGAGACAGAGCAATACCCTGTCTCAAAAAAAAAGTTATACTTGACTAATATAGTCAAGTGCATAGTTCAAAGAGTACAAAGATGTGTGTAGTGAAAATCTCCCTCCCAGCTCTGCCCCTGTTCACCCAGTTGTTCTCCTTTCTCTCCTGAAGGTTTTAATGCCAACAAATCATCTGATACTCCTTCCCTCAAAATCTGAACCCTAATTTCCCTCCCATTGAGTGTGGGCCAGACTTAGTGACTCGCTTCAAATAACTAGAATGTGACCAACATGACTGACTGTGTCACTTCTGAGATTAGGCCATAAATGTCTTTGCAGCTTCTCTCTCTCCCCAGCTGCCCTCCACCCCACCCATCGTTCACTCTGGGGGAAGCCAGCTGCTATATCTTGAGGACATTCAGGCAACCTTAAGGATTGCTCCAGGAAGGGAGGAAGCAAAGCCTCCTGCCAGCAGACATGCGTGACCTATCTTGGAAGCAGGTCTGTCCCCAGTCAAGCCTTCCATTGACTGCAACCCTGGTCAACTTGTTGTCTAAAACCTAGTGAAAGAGGCCAGGCATAGTGGCTCACGCCTGTAATCCCAGCACTTTGGGAGGCCAAGATGGGTGGATCATGAGGGCAGGAGTTCAAGACCAGCCTGACCCACATGGTGAAACTCTGTCTCTACTAAAGATACAAAAATTAGTCGGGAGTGGTGGTGTGCTCCTGTAGTCCCAGCTACTTGGGAGGCTGAAGCAGGAGAATCACTTGAACCCGGGAGGCACGGTTGCCGTGAGCTGAGATCACGCCATTGCACTCCAGCTTGGGTGACAGAATAAGACTCCGTGTCCAAAAAAAAAAAAAACAGAAAAAAAACCTAGTGAAAGATTCTGAGCCAGCGCCACCCGGTTAAGCTGTTCAAGTTCCTTACCTACGACGTTGTTAGTTAATAAATATTTGTTGTTTTAAGCTGTTAAATTTGGAGTCATTTGTTATATAGTAATAGATACTAAAATACTTGCATGTATACATGTCACGCATGTGCATCACACATACATATATAGGTAACCACTGATAGTACTTTGATGGTTATCCTTCCAGAGATTTTTAACATATATTTAAGCAAATACAAAAATGTTTTTCTTACCTTTTCTATAAAAGCACATTATATATAGGTTTTTTCCCACCTGTGCTTGTGTTGGGAAGCATTTTTTTTCCCACTTAATTATGTTGGACAGCATTCTAGATTCATACTTAAAAGTGTCATCGGCTGGGCACAGTAGCTCATGCCTGTAATCCTAACACTTTGGGAGGCTGAGGCAGGCTGATCACCTGAGTTTAGGAGTTCAAGACCAGCCTGGCGGACATGGTGAAACCCCATCTCTACTAAAACTACAAAAAAATAGCTGGACGTGGTGGCGTGTGTCTGTAATCTCAGCTACTGGGGTCAGGGAGCGGGGCTGAGACAGAAGAATCGCTTGAACCCTGGAGGCAGAGGTTGCAGTGAGCAGAGATGCACTGTACTCCACCCTGGGCAACAGAGTGAGACTTCATCTCAAAAAAAAAAGTCTCGGCAGGGCACGGTGGCTCACTCCTGTAATCCTAGCACTTTGGGAGGCCAAAGCAGGTGGATCACCCGAGGTCGGGAGTTCAAGACCAGCCTGGCCAACATGGTGAAATCCCGTCTCTACTAAAAATACAAAAATTAGCTGAGCATGGTGGTGCACGCCTGTAATCCCAGCTACCAGGAGGCCGAGCAAGGAGAATTACTTGAACCTGGGAGGTGGAGGTTGCAGTGAGCCAAAATCATGTCACCGCACTCAAACCTGTGTGACAGGAGCAAGACTCCATCTAAAAAAAATTAGCGAGGCATGGAGTGAGACTCCATCTAAAAAAATTAGCCGGGCATGGTGGTGATGCCTGTAGTCCCAGCTATTCAGAAGGTTGAGGCAGGAGGATCACTTGAGCACAGGAGTTCGAAGCTATAGTGAGCTCTGATTGTGCCACTGCTTTCCAGCCTGGGCAACAAAGTGATATCCTGTCTCTAAAAAAATATAAATAAATAAATAATTAAAAACATACAAAATTGCTCTATCATAACAAAGATCCCTCATGCTGCCCCTTTACAGTCATGGTGGTCCAGCTCCTCCCCCGACTCTATCTCCTACTCCTGGTAACCACTACTCTGTTCTCCATCTCTATAATTTTGTCATTTGAGAATGTTATATAAATGGAATTGTACATTATGAAGCCTTTTGAGATTTTCTTTTTTCACTCTGCATAATTTCCTTGAGATCCGTCCAAATTGCATATATCAATAGTTTGTTCCTTTTTATTGCTGAGTGGTAATTCATGGGATTCATGTACCATATTTGTTTACCACAGATCCACCGAAGGACTTTCAGTTTGTTTCTAATTTGGGGCTATCACAAATAAAACTTCTATGAATGTTCATGTACATGTTTTTATTTGTTTTTTTGTTTGTTTGTTTTTGAGACTGAGTCTTGCTGTGTCGCTCAGGCTGGAGTGCAGTGGCACAATCTTGGCTCACTGCAACCTCCGCCTCCAGGGTTCACGCAGTTCTCTTGCCTCAGCCTCCTGAATAGCTAGAATTACAGTCATGTGCCACCAAGCCTGGCTAATTTTTATATTTTTTGTAGAGACAGGTTTTCACCAGGCTGGTCTCGAACTCCTGACCTCAAGAGATCCACCTGCCTCAGCCTCCCAAAGAGCTGGGATTACAGGTGTGAGCCACTGCGTCTGGCCTGTTTTTATTTGGATGTAGTTTTCATTTATCTGAGATAAACGCCCAGGAGTGCAATTGGATCATACTGTTAGTATATATATTTAGTTTGTTTGTTTGTTTGCTTGTTTCAAGAGACTGAGATCCAGTCTTTCCCTGGATCTAAAACAGAGGCAAAAAAAGGAAACTGGGAAACTGTTTAACTGAAATTACTCAATCTCAGGTGTCGCATTGAGTTCATCAAAAGAGAAACTCTCCTGGGTGCTGTAGCTTGAAAGTTTGTCCCCTCCAAGTCTCATGTTGAAATTTGATCTCTGACTGGGCACGGTGGCTCATGCCTATAAATCCCAGCACTTTGGGAGGCTGAGGTGGGCGGATCACTTGAGCCAAGGAGTTTGAGACTAGCTTGGGCAACATGGCGAAACCCTCCCTCTACCAAAAAATAGAACAATTAGCCAGGCTTGGTGGTATGTGACTGTAGTTCCAGCTACTTGGGAGGCTGAGGTGGGAGGATCACCCGAGCCCAGGGACGTCAAGGCTGCGGTGAGCCATAATCATTCCACCACAGTCCACTCCAGCCTGGGCAACAGAGTGAGACCCTGTCTCAAAAAAAAAAAAAAAAAAAGAAAGAAAAGAAAAGAAATTTGAAATTTGATCCTGAATTGGAGGTGGGGCCTAATGCCCTCTGTGGTAGGGCAGAGCAAGTGAGTTCTCACTCTGTTAGTGCCCATGAGACCTGGTTGTTAAAAACAGCCTGGCACCTCCCCCTCACTGGCTCTTGCCTCCGGTCTCACTACGTGATTTCTTCACCCACCAGCTCCCCTTTGCCTCCCACCATGAATGCAAGTAGCCTGAGGCCCTCATCAGATGCTTGGTCTTCCTGCCAGCAGAATCAGTCATGAGCCAAATAAACCTTTTT